GAATTCCCCGGGCCGCGGGGTTCTAAAGGCACCGGAGTAACGGTGGGTGCAGTGCACCATGGGATCGCCTGGGAGGGGAAGCCCAGCAGCACTTGGGTCGGGCTGTCCTGCGGAAGGTCCTTCTGGAGGAAGCAAGCTAATCAGAAAGCAGGTCACAGCTTTCAGGCTGATCCAGGTCCTCTAGCCCACGCGGTAGGGGAGAAGAGCCGCGTGGAGCTCCCAGATGGACACCCTTACAGCCTCGGGCTGCCACGGCAGCACCTGGTGCTCAAGCACTGCACCACAAGGGCTCCCGAACCCTCTCTCAGACTCACAGACACCTTCATCAGGTTCCCCAGCTCCAGATTACAGGGCAAAAACCCTGCCCGTCTTTCTCCAAAGAGCAGCTGGTGGATACAGTCACCTCTGGACCCCAGGGACCATGCCAGCCGCACCCCCTTGGAGCATGTCAGAGGTGGGGGAACCAGGAGAGCCCCATCTCCTCCGTGCAAGCCAGCGGAGGGGTCAGCTCCAACTCATGTGCACGCGGTAACAAAGACAAGAGCCCCGGTGAAGCCAAAGGTGACAGATCTGAAGACAACAAGTTTGGGAGTCTGAAATGGAGTGAGCCTGTGGCCAAGACGCATGAATTATAACGACAAATCACCAAACGCAGAATGTGGAAACAAAGGACTGGTAGCTGGAAAATGATGGCACTGGGGACAGGAACAAGCCAAGAGAGCAAATGACGACATTTTGTACAACCAATATTCAAGGTGAAAGTGACGCTGAAGAACGTGAGAGCCAGAAGCATGACAATGTCACCTGGAGTGCATCCCATCGGAACGGGGCTAAAAGTTAAGAACATGCATCTTGAGAAGGATGCGGTGAGCGTAATCATAGGAGAACAGGTGAGCTGTGCGGGTGGGACCGCTGGAGAGCAATCCTACCCCCACCACCCCCGTCTGTGGGAGAGAAATGAGGCTGTGACACCCACAGCCTCGCTGGCCAGGCAGGCATGGCCACTGTCTGTCCTTGTCTGCAAGACAGAAAAGCAAACATGCAGTAAACCAACCAGCTTTAGTGACTGGCGGACCCTGCCAACCTCAGCTCCCAGCCGGAGCCCAGAAGGAGCCTGGTTATCACCGGGGACCACTGACAGGGCTCAGGGCAGAAGGACCTGGCAGCTGGATGAAAACAGTGGGACGAAACTCAGAAACAGAGATGGCCGGATTCACTGGTCTGACAGAGACTTACACAGCCATGGCCGTCAGCCACCTTTCGAGTCTGGCATTAAATTCACCCAGGGGCTCAACATTCAGAAAAGCAACAGAAAGATGGTCCCCAGGTGACCAGTCGCACCGTGGAGGTGCTCACACCTTAGAGCAATTGAGACAGCACAAGGTGCGAAGGGCAGCGTTTGCACAGGGATAACGCAGGAGGCATTGAGAGTGGGACAAAAGGACGGATGGAAACAAGAATCAGAGGCAGGGCCCCAGAAGAGTGCTGCTTTGAGGCTGTTGCTAGGTGCCCCTGAGCTGACTGCCAACGAGGCCGTAAGACAAAAGCTGCCTGACTGAACGAAAAAGGAATGCCAGCTTGCTCTGTAAACTGTTACACAATGATGATGAGAAAAATAAAGAGCTACAACCTAGAACCCTGGAAGATCACCACGAATCACAGCCTGCTTGACGGCGTGGGCTGAGCCTGCGAAGACCCTCGGTCACCTCTGACTCACGGCCGTGGGTTTGGTGAGGGCCTGGCAGGGCGCCCTGGTGGCTGCCGACCCAGCCCCTCTTCTCTTATGGTCTGGAGCCAGCCTCAGCTCTGAGGGAGAAAGCTGAGCGGTCTCCTGCACAATTACGGCCTCAGACACCCCACAGAGGGCCAGGAGGGACTTGGAACTGCCTTGATGGCAACATCCAAGCAGTGAGATAGTGCTAAGGTGCTGGCTGCTGATGGAAAGTCTGGAAGTTCGAACCTAGTGGCTGCTCAGAACAGAAAGACGTGATGGTCTCTCCTGCAGCCCACGGGCAGCTTGACAGGGTCGCCCTGGTCGGAATCCACTCAGGTGGACGGCAGTGGGCCGGGCTGGTTTGGGGTTTAGTGGAAGGAACAACTGAAGCCGTCTAATGCATTAAAAAGCTGGCGTGCAGCAAGTGACAGTGACAGCTGGTCCAGCATTTCAAGGCATGCGAGGGCAGGTCTCTACTGTTAAAGACCAGGGATGAGCTGTCGTAACACGGGAGCCGCTGATGTGAGTGCCGCTTCATCGGATTCTGTGGGCAGCATTCTGGGGACCTGGAACAGCCCAGTGTCCTTACAGGACTTTGATTCTCAAGGTCTGTGACCATTCTGTACATGCCTGTAGTTGTTATGTGCGCCGAGTCACCTGCGACACATAGTGTCCCTGTGTACAACAGCCCTAAACTCTGCTCTGTCCTGTGCCAATCTCATTGTCTCCAACATACCTACGCAATTAATTACCTAGTCACTGAATCAATCCACCTCATAGAGGGTCTTCCCTTCCTGCGCTGTCCCTCCATCCTCCCAATCATGATGTCCTTCTCCAAGGACTGGTCCCTCCTTACAAAATGTCCAAAGTATGTCAGACAAAGCTTCAGAATCCTTGCCTCCAAGGAGAAGCCTGGTTTAACCCTCTCCAGGTTGAACCTGTTTGTTTTCCTAGCTGTTCATGGTACATTCAATACTCTTCTCCAGCACCACAGCTCAAAGGCATCAATTCCTCTTCTGTCATCCTTAGTCATTGTCCAACTCTTTGACACAGCAAGTGATTGCAAAAACTGCAGCCTATATCAGGTGTATCTTAGTCTCCAGAGTGGCACCATTGCTCTTCAGTACTCTGGAGAGGTTTCTAACAGCCGACTTTCCCATCGCAAAACGTCTTTCAATTTCCTGGCTGCTGGTGCCGAGAGTGTTGATTCTAGAGCTGAGCAAGCTGTAACTGTTAACAAACTCAATCTCTTCTCCATATATTATGGTGCTACCAGCTGGCCCAGTGGTGAGAATCTTTGTCTTCTTGATGTTGAGCTTCAATTTATATTGAAGGCTACAGGCCTTGACCTTCATCAGCAAGTACTTCAGGTCCTCCTCAGTTTTAGCAAGCAGGGCTGTGCCATTATTTTTTCTGTTATTCCTGGCAACAGCAGTGACATTTCATCTCGCCAAGGCCATTTCCTCATACTCCCTGATATGTAGCCCTTCCTCTGTGACGTCCTGCGTGGGACCGTTTTTATTGTTCATTTAGAGGCATGTGAGGTGAGAGCGTGCATCCTTAGAAAGCTGGTGTGAGTGAGGCTTGTCCTGCAGATGTGTTCACATCACACTAACAGGGTTTGACTCATGGACTTAGTGCCGTTAAAGAACCGACTCACAGCTGACACTCATGGGGTTTTCGTTGTTGTTGTTGTGTACCTTTGAGTTGGAACTGACCTGCAGCTGACCCTCTTCTGGGTTTTCAGAGGCAGCTGATGGCACAGGAGACTGCCCACCCTTCTCCCGTGGAGCAGCTGGTGGATTTGAACTGTGTGCCTTCGTGACTGCAATGCAGCTTCTTGCCCCAGGCCAGCAGAGCTCCCGTGGGTTTCCAGAGGCTGTGGATTGCCTCGGTGACTGCTCATCTTTGCCCACGGAGTTGCTGGTGGGGTTTGAACAATGACCGGTGCCGCCTTTGGGTAGGCCTCCAGACTTCCCGGCACCTCGGATGACAGTGTCCTGAAGCTCCGAGACCAGCAGTTGGCATCCTGTGACAGCAGAGCCTCCAGCTGTGATGAGGGCCTCCAGGAGCCACATCCCCGCGCGGCGTCAGATCTGAGCTGCTAACAGTGCTTCGCAGGCACCTGGTCCCAGGAATGGCTCCCTGGGAAGTAGGGGTGGCTGCACTATCTCTGAGGCATGGGGGTCCCGGGAAGGGGCGGGAACGTGTTTGTCAGCGTCTGACCGTGCTCCAGGAGCGCATCAGCCCTGACAGGGCAGAACCAGCTGCCCTCAACTGAGCCCCCGTCCCCAGGAGAGTCCACCTCGAGGCCTCAGTCCTCATGCACACAGCCCACTGGGCATCCTGTCAGCCTGCCCACAATGCCCAGCATCACACAAGAGTGTGGGTCACCAGGAAGGCCTCCACTGTCCACTCTGACCCTCTACAACCAGCGGCAGTCACGAGAGCAAGGCCAGACTGGACACGCCAGTCCTATTAAGAAGCTGGCTGTGTGCCACCGAGATGGAACCAACCCGCAGTTGACCCTCCGCAGTTCTAGAGAGGCAGTAACTGCCCAGGAGACCGCTCAGGGTGCAGAGCAGCTGGTGGACTTGAACTGCCTGCCTTGGGGACTGCAGAGCAGTGTCTTACCACTAGGTCTCCAGAGCCCCCTCCGTTAAGGGAGAGGATTCTAATTATTTGTCTTCATACAGGCCAGCGCCCGTGCAGGGGACTGGTGCTTACACAGGGCAGGCCATGAAGTAGTGAGGGGTGCACGTTCCTCACAAGGTCCCCACAAACTGATGTGTGACTGTGAGGTGTCTGTGTCACTACAAGGTCCCCATGAGCTGAGGGCATGATTGTGAGGTGTGGTGTCACTCACAGGTCCCCGTGAGCTGAGTAGGAGACTGTGAGGTGTGTACGTCATTCACAAGGTCCCCACAAACTGATGTGTGACTGTGAGGCGTCTGTGTCACTACAAGGTCCCCACGAGCTGAGGGCATGATGTTGAGGTGTGCGTGTCACTCACAGGTCCCCATGAACTGAGTTGGAGACTGTGAGGTGTGTACGTCATTCACAAGGTCCCCACAAACTGATGTGTGACTGTGAGGTGTGTGCATCACCACAAGGTCCCCATTAATGAGCTGAGTGGGTGACTGTGAGGGGTGTGTGTCACTCGAAGGTCCCCAGTAGCCAAGTGGGTGACTGTGACGTGTGTACGTGTCGCTCACAAGGCCCCGTCAGCTGTGCGCTGACCTGGGACAGAGCCATACCTGACGTTGGTGTGCCGCTTGACGTACAGGTTGTGGAAGTTGTTGCTGTTCTCCATCTGGCCGGCCTTGGGGCCCTGCAGCCGCTGGATGATCTCGGCTTTCATCTCCATGGCAATGTGGGCGGGCAGCAGGGACAGAAGGAGCCGCTCCTGGACAGGGGAGAGGGCAGGGGAGGGGACGTTAGACACCTTCAGGGAGAGACCCACCTGAGACGACCCCTTCCTAGTAGTGCTGACCGGGGGTGGGGGGGGGTACTTGCTAGGGAGCTCTGGTGGCCTTGCAGGAAGAAGCTGCGCTGTAATCCCAGAGGCACAAGGATCAAATCCACCAGCTGCTCCACAGGAGAAAGACGTGCAATGTCCGCCCTTATCATCTACTCGCTCTGAACACTTGCTGGAGGGAAGGCCACGAGTTGTTTGTGATTCAACAACTCACCACCACGACCACCACCACCACGACCACCACC